GTCATCTTGACTTCTGTCTTGCCACTAGACTCTGGAAGAGAGAGTGAGACTGATGACTTTGCACAGCTCTGTCTCACCGAAATCCAATTCATGCAGGAGTCAAGACATCACCTCATGTCATCACAGGCCATCTTCCAAGACGACCTCCAGGTGGTGCAGAGAACGGAGCACTGGGCCTGGAGTCAGGGTGTTCAATCCGGCCTCAGACACTGGCTAGCTGTGTGACCCTGCGCAAGCCACCTCAGCCTGTGTGCCTCAGTTTCCTCATCTGTCAAATGGGCTGGAGAAGGAAATGGCCAACCGCTTCAGGACCTTTGCCAAGAAAACCCCAAATGGGGTCACGGAGAGTCAGACACGGCTGAAACGACTCAACGACAACAACAAATTCAGGGGTGTCCTCGTGGTGCTTCCCTGGGAGTTAAACTGAACAACCGAGGAGGTCACTTCCAACTCCCTGAGTCTGTGACGGCTCAGTGCAGGTGCCATTTTCTACCAGAGGTCTGTCCTTGTTTTCCCCATAGTTAGTGCTTATTACTCCTCTGAAATTAATTTGTGAAACATTGTAGATTTGTGAATTTGTAAAATATTGTGAAATTATTAAGGTGATGCAGCGGATACAGCACCAGGCCCAGAGTCAAGAAGACCTGCGTGAAAATCCACACCAGCCTGATGAAACAAACTGTCAGCACTGAAAAACTAACACTGGATAAAACACTGATACTGACACAGAGTCAACACTACCATTTCCCAAAAATTTTAATTGCCAAGCTGTTCCTAGGATAGCAAACTGTCCAAGCCCTCCCGGCGTGGGGAGTCCTCCCAGAGCTTGAACTCCCCTGGCATGGCTTTCAAAAACCAAGAGCCAAAAGCAAACCACATGAAAGAGACATTCACAAATTCACATGGAAGCATCTTTTTTTTTAACGTTCTACTGTCTACATAGAAATATTTTCTCTTTTAGTCTTTAAATATGAAATTTTTTTAATTTAAAAAAAGCATTTAAGACTTACGGCCAGCCTACCTCCCTCCCCTCTCCTTGCCCCCAACTAAGCTGAGGCAGGCAGGCAATGCAGGCAAGAAGTATCAAGCATTTACTCTGTGCCACGTACAGTGCGAAGCCTTGGGAATACAAATAAAAGCAAAAGGAAAAGACAGGCCCTGCCCTCAAAGAGCTTATATTCTGAAAGGAGAGACAACATATAAAAAGGAGCTGACGAATAGGAATGTGTAGAAAAGGTACCCACACAAGGGTCTGATAGCAAAGTCCAGAAAGCCAGAAGCACAGCTGCCTCATTCAAAGAGTGGCCAGGCTGGCCTCATCCCCAAAACTGAGCCCCCCAGAAGGAACTCAACAGGAGAAGGGGGGCCAGCATGGCAGAGGAATGTTCTAGGGCAAGAAGGGACTAAACACTGAGGGAAGCTCTGGGCCAGAGGTAGGGAATGTGGCCCTCTAGGTCCTCAAGTGCGGCCCTTTGACAATCCATGTAAGTTTGGATTCAAAGGGCCACACTTGAGGACCCAGAGGGCCACATGTGGCCTCGAGGCCACAGGTTCTCCACCCTGCTCTAGGCACTAAAACTCTGAGGACTTTGTGAAGACTTTAAAGATAAATTTAGAGGGGGCAGCTAGGTGGCGCAGTGAATAGACCTCCGGCCTTGGAGTCAGGAGGACCTGAGTTCAAATTCAGCCTCAGACACTTAACACTTACTAGCTGTGTGACCCTGGGCAAGTCACTTAACCCTGACCACCTCACCAAAAAGCAAAAAAATTAAAAATAAAATAAAAATAAATTTAGAGTATCTCTCTAAACAGGAGAAAAGAAAAAGTTTATGAAAGCTATTAAACAATGTTTTACTAAGATTCTTCTGATACGTTTGCTATAATATCCTCAAATGGAACAGATGGTAAACTAATTTTAAAAGTTAATATATTAATATTTCTTTACCAGCAGGCTCGGTCGATGAAAGCTACATTTAGTCGTGTCTTCCTGCAAGCTCCTTAAGTTAATGAATTTGTGAAGTTTTTGCTATTTGCTTCCTTTTTTTCTTTACTGTGAGTGAATTTGGTACTCATAATTTAGTGCAGGATGGAACATGGCTGGCTCAAGACAGGTAGTATGTGTAGGACATAAGTTTTCCCCACAGAGGCCTGTTAATTCATTTCTAATCTTGAAATGCAAAGCATCAGCTCCCCAAGGTCGGGGCCTCAAGAAGAAACTGCCCATCCTGTCCAGCAAATTTAGAATGAAAAACGATGAGCATTAGGCTAGAAATGCCTAGTGATTTCCTATTCAGGCCTAACCAGGACATAATTCAAATGCCCACAAGGTCCCACAGCTAACTCCATCCAACCACCTTAAACAAAAGAGTGTCCCATTCCTGTGCACATATTTTTGCTTCTTAATTCTTTTAATTGTGTTGAATACGATCTATCGGTAAAGGGAATATTAAATGTTCTAGTGAAGCCAATTTTCATTTTAACCACGATGATAAATAAACTAGAATGGTGATATTACAGACAATCAGAAAAATTACTTGCTTTGTAGGAAGTCAGTTGCAAATTGAGAAATCAGCTTTCTAGCATTTACCAAAATTAAAGCAATAGAATTTATGAATATTATTACAAAGGAACTAGAGCTAGCAGAGTCCCAAGTAATGCAGAAAGAGGATTATTGGGTACAAAAGAAGAAGGGCCTCCTCAGGAGCTTAGGCAATCTTTTCATTTGCAAATTCCCAATTTCATGAATTGCTTACATCCAACCCCACACAAGACAGAACAGGAACAAGTTGAAAAGCAGCGTGCTCTAGAATAATTTTTTCCAACAAATTTGTAACACCTAAAAGGACCCTTTCAGCATGAGAATTTCCTCATTCGAGACCCCAAAGCACGGAGAGCTCTTTTCCGAAGCGGGGAGATTGTCTCTGAGAGACTAGCAGCAACTGAAGAAGCCTGGGCAAGTCCTTTCCTAAACAGGGGGGAGGAAAAGCTCCACTGCACACAGCAGGGGAAGGCTCCTTGGGGGAGGGGGTCCCCAAACATACAATTTCAATTTTATGAGGGCTTCTACAAGTTTTTTTAAAATTCTTCTGAAATACCTTCTGTAGTTATGCTTTTCCAATTTCACAATGGAAAATTTTGGAAACTTAAGATCACAGTATTTAGATTTAGAGGGAACCTTAAAAATCGAGCCATAATTGAGTGAAGGAAGGAGTGAAGGAAAGAAGAAAAAGGAAGGGGGAAAGGGGGAAGGGGGAAGTGGGGAAGGAGCACGCTAATACATTGTTGGTGAAGCTATGAACTGGTCTAACCAATTCTGGGAATCATGACCACAGGATCACAGACTTCAGGATGGGAAGGGCCTAAGAGGTCATCTATTCCAACCACTTCATTAGACCAATGATGAATGAGGCCTAGAGATATCGAGTGACTTGCCCGGGTCACAAAGGGAAGAAGTAGGAGAGATGAGATTCTACCTCAAATCCTCTGGCTCCAAATCTAGCATCTTCCACTCTACCTTTCTGCCCCTAACTGGGATTTCACCACCAAAGTGACTCGAGTGTTCAGAGCCTCTGGCCCAGCCATCCCACTCCTCAGCATGGGTAGTCAAGGAGGGACAAGAGAGAGACAAAATATTCAAAGCAGCACCAAAAAAAGCAAACAAGACGAGTCCCCACCATTTGGGGGAGGGCTTAACCACACTGGCCGCATCATCAGAAACAATTAACGTGAGCAATTCAAAGAAGTGGGGGAGGAGCTGGATAAAGGGACATCGTGAAGAAAGCAGAGCTAAGAGAACAGTGAGGCCTAAGATATGGTAAAAGACAACATCAACCGCAATTACTGTATTGAGGGATCTGCATCCTGGCCAACTGCTCTTCCTCCCGATAGAGGGGAGAGACTACAGACAACAAGGCGGGTCCAACACCATCAGGTGCAGTTTTGGCATTAGGTGGTTTTATTTGAAGGGTGTTTCTTTCTTGGGTACCAGGAAAGCTTTCGGGGAATGGAGGAAGATAAGGAAAACTGACGGTTTAAAACAAAAGACAGCCATGTAAATTATGTCTTAAAAAACCCTATCAGGCAGATGAGGAAGGTATTAGTGTCCCTATTTGACAGATGGGGACATTGAGAAACAGCGTGGGGAAGTCACTTTGCCCTGCTTACATGGAGCCACATTTCAAACACAGGAGCTCAGAATTGGAGGAGGCCCAAAAGTTCAGCTGGTCTAATCCTCCACCTGCCAGGGGCCTTCCAGCCCCTGGGTGCCCTTTTCCAGTGAGGGGAAGCTCACTATTTTGTAAGGCAGCCTATTCCCTCTCTGTGCAGCTCGAAGTCATTAGAAAGTTCTTCCTTATCCAGAGCTAGAACCTGCCTCCCTCTGACTTCCACCCACCCATCTCCCTCAGTACCCTCATTTCCTCTCACCTGGACTATTTAACAGCCTCCTACTCTTCCCCACCTTTTGTCTCTTCCTGTCAAAATGATCTCCGTGTCGCTGCCCTGCTCTGAAAACCTCCCATGCCCGTCAATGGCTCTGGGTCAGAGCCTAGCATTCCTGCCCTCCACAACCTGCCTCCATCATTATTCCACACTGCACTCCTTCCTGTCAAACCGGCCTTGATTCCACCCCCACCATCCCCCCCCCCCCATTAGCCGCTCCCAGGCCTGGCATGCTGTCCCCTCCTCAGCTCTGCTCCATCTTCCTCCCACTCTCCGCTCAGGGGTCAAGTGCTCCAGCCCCCCCAGGGCTCTTTCCCTCCTCAGGTTACCAGGATTGGATTTAGCAAACACTCAGTAAGGGCCTGCACTCAGGGAAAGCATCGGGTGAGGCACTATAATCTGCTTGTCCCAAACACACAGCCCCCTCCTGATCTTCAGGTTCCCGGATGCGCTGACTTTAGGCTGAAGCACTTCAGTAACAAGCAGAAGGCGGTCTTTAGGACAATGGGCCTCGAGCTTGCCCCACGTCACTCCCGCACTCATCCTCAGAGAACCCTCACCTCCAGCAGAAGACACACTTGTTGGCACATGCCAGGCTTGGGGTGGTCTCCATGCAACGATGGCTTTCGATGCCGTAGAAAGTGTGTTTGTAGCAGCCTCCTCTGCCCCGAAGCATTGACTGTGAGAAACCAGAACCATAGGCAGGTTAATTTGCATACACTACTCAAGGGCTTGAAATTATGACGTCCATTATCTGAAAAAAAAGTCTTTCTCCCCAAGAGGAGAGGAGGAAGACAGCACCAAGGGACCCTGTTTATTCAATCCAATGCAATGACCCTGGGGTTCACTAATGCTAAGAGATCTGCAACAAAGGGCCTAAGGTCCTCTGATTTTCATTTTTAATATCTTTTGTGTTTCCATTTCCTTCCCAAGATCCCTCTTCTTCCCCCCAGCCAAGGAGCCATCTCTTGCAACACAGACTAAAAGGGGGGGGGGGAGTTCAACAAAACCCACCAACACTTCAACAGTGTCAGACAGTAGGTGCAGCATTCCACATCCTTGGTCCACCCACCTCTTTAAAGAAGGGAAGAGAAGGGATGTTTTGATTTTCCAATCCATCCATGATCTGACTGAAGAAGCCACATTAATACAGGCAACTGTGAATAATGCAGGCTAACCTTGCTTATCCAGAATATTCCAGAGCAGACTTCTCAGTTGACCCAAGAGTGTAACAAAACAAACATTTATGCTTTCATGTCAACAGCACACAATCCATGATTGCCCCTTGCTGAAATAAAAATAATCTGTAGTCTTAACCACCACAACACACTAGTCTTTTGTCTAAAGTAATTGGATTCCCCACATGCTCTCTTGCTCAGGACTCACAGTCATTTGGAGGTTTGTTGGTTTGGTTTTTATTGCTTTGAGATGTCTTATTTCTAAACTAAAAATATTTCTGCTCAGACTTAGTTATTAATCTAGAGAACCAAATATTAAATCTCAAGACAGTTTAAACACGTGTGGATTTACGTGCGTTAGCCGCAACCTGCCAGACTTTGACACGTGTTCCAGCCGTGACTCTCTGCTGCCCGACAGCCTCAGGGCAGGCCTCCCCTTCTGTCATGGGGGGATATGCTGTATCCTGTTAACCGCTGCTCTGGACACCTGGCATTTCACTAAGAGTTACAGATCCCTTGACTTCTAAATTGTCACTGAAAGACGGTTTTCAATATAGCTCAGATGATAAAACCACAGAGTATTACAATATTCCTCACTTCCCCACCCACATACAGATGAATGAGGCAACCAAAGTACTCGCTTTGGGAGGCTTCAGAAATTGGCCCCATCTCCCTCTGCTCACCCCTCCGTGCCTTTCGGGCAGAAGCTGGGCTGATGGCTGTTCTCCCTGGCACCAGCATCCCTGCTCCCCGGCTCAGGACCTGAGGTGACCTCATGCACCTCCAGGCAGGTTAATAGCCTCTATGCAGGGTCTAACCTGCTCTTGGTGGTCTTAAATATTGTTTTTATTAGTTTTGTTATCATTGAGTTGATTTAATAGAATCTTTGAAACTCAGCATTCACATCAAGGAAGAGCAAATGACTTTGACAAGGGCAAAGAGAAGCTGCCAAGAGCCTCTTTACACCCGAGTCTGGCAGCGCCGCAGCTCCTGCCGGCGCACTCAGCAAAGATGCCAGGCCGGCAGGGCCGAGGGCTCGGCCACAGTGGCCCCGTGAGGGGGAAAGCCCCCACAGGCGAGGCTCCCTGGCCGGGCTTCAGAGCCGCAGCGCTGAAACCATCCAAATGAGACACTTCAAAGAGCAGAAGCAAGGTCTGCTCTAGTTGTAATGCTTTTGTGTTTATTCTGCCTTTATTTTACACTTATTTGTCTATGCTCTTGTTGTCTTCCCCAGCACAAGATAAGCTTGATGCAAGAAGAGACTGCTTCATTCTTTCTGCTGGTATCCCCAGGGCTTAGCACAGGGCCCCCCACACAGGAGGTGCTTAATAAACACTTGTGGATCGACTGATTGCTCTTCTTCAAGAACGTGGAAGATATGAGGCTTGTTCTGCTTGCCTCGTGGGCAGAAGTTATGAAAAAGCAGAGCTGGGCTTCCTGAAGGGGAACCACCCCACAAGCAGGACACTCTCAGAGTGAGCTCAGCCCCCGCCTCACGGGGAGGCTCCAAGCAAAGGCTAAATGAGCCCTTGGAGGGGGCGGGAGGGATCCACAGCAGGGTGGACTACTTGGCCAGTGGTCTCTTCCAACTCCGAAATTCTAGAAAGTTCTCTGAAACTTAAGATCAGAGAGGTCAACCAAACAGTCCAGGTCACGCAGCTACTCAGCAGAGCTGGGCCAAGAACCTCAACACCTGCTTCTGCTTTGTGCAAAACAGCCACACCCCCAAGAAAAGGGGACACAGGGCTAGAGAACCGGGGGAGGAGCAGAACACACTGAGAAGAGGGCCGAAGGCAAACTGTGCCAGGCTCCTGCTTCTGCCCGGGGCTTCGGCTACTTTCAACTGTTCGTGGAAAAGGAAAATCTACAGGCAACTAGGTGGTGCAGTGAATAGAGCTCTGGCCTTGGAGTCAGGAGGAGCTGAGCTCAAATCCGGCCTCAGACACTTGACACCTATGAGCTGTGTGACCCTGGGCAAGTCACTTAACCCTAACTGCCTCACCAAAAAGCAAAAGGAAAAAAATAAAGAAAAAAAAGGGAAAGCTGACCACAGAGGAGTTTTTGTCTTGGATGGCAAGGATCAGCAGCAACCTTGGTCCAAAGTCACATCAAAACTCCATCCTGCTCCAAATGCCCGCACCTGACTCCTGAAGGCAGCATCACTGTGCACCAGCAAAGCCACAGCGATTCAGGCATGTGACATTTTACTACAAAGTAAATCTTCGGTGAGTGTGTATACACGTGTGTGTGTGTTATATAAATTATCTATGTTCTATATAAAATATATTTTATATTTGTATTTTATGCAAATGTATTTTAGATTTACATTTCACATAAAATGTATCTATTTCATTTTTAGCTTAAATATGTAGTTACATAAAATATATTTTATATATTACATACACTTACATATATAAACAAGGCATCCCAAAAGTCTTAGTGTCATGTTAAAGCATTAAAGCCACCAAGACTTCTGGGACCGTGTATGAGGGCAGGCGGGCAGGCGTGTGTGAGTGTGCATGTCTGTGTGTGTGTGCGTGTGTGTGTGTGTGTGTGTGTGTGTGTGTGTGAATACATACACGCTACAGAACAGATTTTGACAAGACTTTAACCATGCGGTAAATACCTTGGTCCAGCGGCACAGCTTCACTCCGGAGTGACTCCCAATCAATTGATAACCTGCCAAGGAAAGGAGAGCTCTGTCAGCCATGAGCCACCCTGTATGCCACTGAGCAGAACATCCCTGCCCACATCTGTGGCCATCTGCCAGAGATGTCGGCAAAGGAATCAAACAGGTCAGAGGTTAGATGAGTCAAATTTGAAGGTCCCATGCAAGCCCAAGGCAGGCTATGGTTGCTGTTTTAAGTTCTACAGCAAGAGATGCTTGCTATGCTCTGTGTGACCTTGGATGGGGAAGAAGGCTTTAACCTCTCTGGGCACCAGCATCCTTCTCAGTATAGCAGAGAGCATCCTCACAGCTACTGTTTACTGCTCTTTCCTACATATTTAATCTTTACTGATACTTTGTGCTCTGTTTACATCCCCTTTGTCTCCCAGCATAGCCCTCCCCCTCCCCCAAATCCAACGAGCCAAGAATAAAACAGGGAGGAGAAAAGCACCGCTCTTGACAGTGAACGCAGTCAGCCAAGCCTGACGGGACATCCAGTAACTGTGGGCTCCCACCTCCTCCCTTACAGACTGATGTCAGAGCTGGATAAAGGGGAGGAGGGCTCCTGTTTTTGTCTGTTTAAGGGGTACGGGGTTCCAAATCCGTGACATCATTATGTAAAGAGTTTCCAGTGTGCAAACTCCCTTCACCCTGTAGCCCACCTGCAACATACAGTCTTAGAGAGTGGCCCCAGGCACCAAGAGGTTTGCCCAGGGTCCACCAGGGTAAAAGTGGAGGAAGCAGGATTCAGCGCTGGGTCTTCCAACTCTAAATCCCAGGCTCTTCCCACTCCACCACATTGCCCATCTTTCTCATAACAGAACCTAAGGTTATAACAGCTCATTCAGCAGCTACACTGCAGGTATGGGGGAAACCATGTCACGAGCTCGGAGCACACTGTGAGATGACAAACACCACAACCTGCAGCATGGCCCCTGGTGCCGGCCCGAGGCCCCCTGCATATTTACATAACCACCCAAACAGGAGGACTGTGTAACTCACCCCACACAGGCCAGGTCTGAACTGCAGAACTCAGGGAGCTCAGCCTCTGAGGAGGCTGATATGCCTCCTCACAATGACATCCTCTATCCCAGAGGTGAACAAGGTTAAACGGGACCAGGAAGTTCACCATGCCCAACAAGCCACTGCCACCTCCGGCAGACCAAGGAAGGCGGAATCAGCCTGCTCTGTCTACACCATAATGGGTTAGGTCCTGAACAGATCCCAAGGCCTTACAAACCTTTCAAGCACTACACGAATGTTAGGTACTAGTGGTGCTGGTGGTGTTACTCCTGAGTTTGATGAGGAAGATGCCTGAGTTTTATCCTGCCTGGAGCAAAGGGGCTGAGACAAGAGGAAAGCAGAGGTTAATCCAAAGGTCAGGCCCGGTCAGTCATTCAGGTGACTGGGGACCCCATGGGCCAAGAGGCTGAGATGTTCAGGGGAGCTGGCTGCTGATGAGGAAGCTCAAGGACAGGAAATCCATCAAGGACAAGAAAGCCAAACTGTGGAACATAAGCTATCTGCTTCCAAGAAGCTTGGGTCTTCCTCCTGCAGAGGCCGTCAGGCCCCCCTCCTGCTGGCACGGATGCCCTCTGTGGTCCTGAGCTGGCCCCACTCTCCCCTGCTCACTCCCCTGCTTCCTACCCAGAGGACCCACAAACAATCTCTCCTGCCTCTCAGCCACTGCAGGCAAAGGAAGGGTCTTGGGCCTCAGAAGCTGGTTTTCTGAACTTGCAGGAGACATGGTATACGTTAAAGACTGAACACCACCACTTTGTAGAGCCACAGCTCCACCCTTATCAAAACCCCAAAAATGCGCAGCCCAAAAAATATTTCTCCAAGTCATCCTCCAACCTATACGAGACACCAATGCCAAGGAAAATCAACAGGGAGAGCCCAAGACCCTGAGACTGTCCAAGAAAGCGTAAAAATCCACATTCTCTAATTTGGGGTGGGGAAGAGCAGGAAATTGTTTCCATGAGTATCAACAACAGCCTCGCCCTTTTAGGGACTCTTTTCCAGTTTACAAATGCCTTCCTCAGAACAACACAGTGAGGCAGATGGATTTAGTCTTATCATTCCTCCTAGAAATGAAGCCAGTGACAGAGGCAAAAGATTGGCCACTCGCCAGTGAGCAAGAGAGCTGGTTCCTCTGACTCCCATACTGGGGGCCTTCCCAATATATGAGGGTCACCCTGCAGGAAGGAAAATGGGGTGATCAGTGACCTCTGGTGGTCATCTGTTTTAATTTTTGGCTCTATAACAGTCTACAGTGTTTGATCTCAAAAAGACAATGTATTCACTTTCAGGGTGAATAGAACCCAGAAACATCCAGATGACATGAGCCCCCAGCAAGGCAAACTCAGGCCTCCTCCCTGGCTGAACATGAAAGCAAAAAAGTTTCTCTGTCATGAACAGGAACTTAAGCGACATCAAGGGAAATTCCTCCTTGTCTCACTCCTCCAGTACGAAGCCCTGTCAGACCTGCACTTTGGTGGCCATAACAAGATTGATCCACTCTGTCCCTCCTCCACCAGGTCTATCTGGGAGACAGCAAGCACCGTTTCTAAGATCAGACTCCCAACTGCACATGGCAGGATGGTGCCATCACACGTGTTTCCTGGGTCACCCCCATGGCGGGCTCCAAACGCTAACGCTTTGCCATCTGTTTAATGTCCAACAACAAAATTGGGTCAGTAAATTTAGCTCCCATACATTATCAAAAATTGTAAAAGCTGCAAGTCTGTGGTCGCCTGCATTCTCACCAAGGGCTTGCTGGATTTCATCATGGGGACTCCATCACCAATGGGGAGTCGATATGATGTGTCAGAAAGAGGTCTCAACCAAGACAACCTGAGTGTGAATTTCAGCTCAATGAGCAGTTTGACCTTGGTCAACTAACAGGATCACAGATTTACATCAAGAAGTGACCTTGGAAGCCATCAAGACCAACTCTCTCCTTTTACAAATGAAGAAACTGAGGCACATCGTGGTTAGGTGACTCACCCAGCATCATATAACTAGTAAGTATCCAAGGAAGGCTATGAATGCAAGTCAAACAAGGTAATATTTGTAAAGCAACTAGCACTATGCCTGGCACACAGCAGACATTAATAACTGCTGTTCCCTTCTCTTAAGCCCCTTCCTGCCTACAAGCCCACTCCACTAGGCTGCCTCATTTCCTAACGGGTCTTCCTAATATTCAGAGTTATCCAAAAATGGATGGAATGCCCCAGGAGGTAGTGGGTTTTCCCTCCTTCAAGGTCTTTAAGTGAAAGCTAGATTTACCATAGAGTACATTCTTACTCAAGCCTAGTTTGGACTGGCTGGCCTCTGTGACTTGATTTCTCTGAACCTCAGTTTCCTCATTTAATAAGCACTTACTACATACTAGGCACAGTGATAGGAGCTGGTGATAAAAAAAACAAAATACTTCCCGCCCTCAAGAAGCTTACACTCTACTAGAAGGTTATAATATGTCCAAGTAATTAGACACAAAATATATGCAATGTAATGCCCAGAAGGTGGTGCAGTAAATAGAGTACCAGGCCTGGAGTCGAGAAAACTCATCTTCTTGAGTTCAAATCCAGCCTCAGACACCTACTAGCTGTGTGACCTTAGGCAAGCCATTTCACTCTGGTTGCCTTAGTTTTCCACCTGTAAAATGAGCTGGAGAATGAAATGGCAAACTGCTCCAGGATCTTTGCCAAGAAAACCCCAAATGGGATCACAAAGAGTCAGACATGACTAAAATAACTGAACAACAAAACGGTTTCAAAGAGGAAGAGCTAAGAAGGAAGGGAATTCTAGATATACGGTGCCATTTGTATGAAGGTTCAGAATCAGAAAATGGAGACTTGGGTCACATAACTGTAAAGTGAACATGATAATATTATGCACTACCTCATCAGGTGACTCTAAGAATCCAATGAGATAGGGTATGCAAAGCACTTTATAAACTATAAAACCATATACAAGGTATCCCAAATGTCCTCGTATAGTTTTAAGTAATTAAAGCTTTAAATTGAACTAAGACTTTGAGGACACTGTGTGTAGACTACTAGGATATTACTATTATTATTATCATTCTCTTTTCCCAAATTTATTCTAACAAATTTAAGTTCCTAGAACCCTAGCGGGAAAAAAAAAAAGGTAACCCAAGAAGGCATCACTATTTTCTGAGGAAGGAGTGTTAAATGATTTGCAAATGTGACTTCAAGAAGTATTAAACAAATTGCAGACAGAATTGCAGACGCCCAAGTCCGTCCTGGCCCAGCCGAGCCTCCCTCTGATTGCTTGCAGAATCCGAGCCTGATTCACGACAGCAGCGTGGACAGCAGTATTGGCCAAGAGTCAGGCCAGAGCTTGTTAAAGACCCAGGAACGAGAGGCTCCGGTGTCTGCCAGGCAGACAGTCCACGCTGTCTACGCTGCAAAGAAGCTAAGGGCTAAGCTGTGAGCTCATGTCCCACAGAGAATGAAGGGCAGGCTCTGCCATGACATCTAAAACCGTCCCCAAACACCTAATGCTGGGTGGAAACAGAAAAGGCGTCCTCTAACGCTCTGGGAGCACACTAAGCAGAGAAACGGGGAGCTGTCCGCCCACTCTCAAGGAGCAGTTGCTGCTCAGCTGTTTCAGTCGTATCTGACTCTTGTGACCCCATTTGGGGACATCTTGGAAGAGGAATGGAGCGGTTGGCCGTTTCCTTCTCCAGCTCATTTTAGGCGTCTGAGGAAATGGAGGCACACAGGGTTCAGTGACTTGCCCAGGGTCACACAGCTAGTAAGTGTCTGAGGCCAGATTTGAACTCAGGAAGATGAGTCTTCCCGACTCCAGGCCTGGTGCTCTAGCCATTGTACCTTTGAGCTGCCCCTTAAGGCGCCAAGTAAATTACAAATAAACCAAGGCCCAAGGCCCCAAAACGTCTTCAAAGTCATTAAGAGGAACCATTTCCAAAAGCTGTCTCAGGAATGCAGGCAGAGGAGCTACCACGCTAAGGGAGCTCAAT